GAAAATAATTGATATGAAAAATATATCTTATATTAATATTAATATTAATATTAATATTATACTTTATATTATTAGCTCTTTTTTCCTTATAATTTCTTTTAATATAATTAGATTTCTTATAATAAAAATAGAGATTAAGATTAATATATTATTTTCAAATATAATAAAATAGGGGATACTGATTTTATTAAATAGTATTTAATTATATAAAATTGCTAAAGAGATTAGATATAAAAGAAAATATAATAATAATCTACTTTTTATTATAAGATTTTGATTATTTATAATTAAAATTAATATCTTAGTTCTTTTATTGATTATCAAAATAAGTCTTTTCTTCCAAATTATTATAAATATCTTGCTACCAGATTATCTATAAATCAATATTAATAATAGAAAGTTTATTAGAATAATTAACTAAAATATTAATCAATTCTTATAAAATCTTAAGCTTGAGATTAATAACTTATTATTCAATAGTTTTCCTGTATTTCATAATAAATTGTTTGAATTTGATAATAAAGTTACTAAACAAAATCTTTTTTATTTTATACTTATTATAATCTATAAAAACCTTATATAAAAAATCAAGGATTTGATATTGTTTATTCAATTTATATCAGATGCTTACTACAATACACTATCTAAAAGATTAGAGATCAGAATTATATGGGTTATTAATAATTATATCAAAATATATCTGATTATTTATATAAATAGAGCCAAAAAATAAATTAATAAGGAATATAATCTTTTGGAATTTCGATTTATTTTTATAATCTATAGTTAAATAATAATCAATTATATTATAGAATATTATATATTAATCCTAGCGTTTTATAATATCTTGCTTATTATTATTAAACTTTTCAAAAATAATAAACATTTTCAGTAAAATAGAATTTATAGATTATTGTGAATAGCAATTTTCAATATTTCAATTATATTCTTCAACTCAATAATCTTTGAATAAACATTAACAATTTAAATTTATACTATAGCAATTTAGGTTTATAATAAGCTTATAATCGATTTAATTAATTCAAATATAATTTAAGTAATTACAAAATATATAATATTTGAATTATTAAATAAATCTATAAATAAAGAAATATCAATTTTAATAAAATTGAGAATATAATTCAAAAAAAGAAATTATAGAAATAAACTAGATATAGATACTTAATCAACTATTTTTGAAATATTTCTGCAATTATAAAACAATCTTATAGAATTCCTGAACAATAATAACTAAAATATATAATAAATCAGTAATAAATATAATTAATATAATTGGATTATAACTTTAATAGGGATTTAATTAAAATAAAGCTATAATAGTTTTTATAAAGATAATACAAATTATCAAAATATAGGTAAAAATTTATATTATATTATAAGAATAGAAGAATTATAAAAAAGTGAGGCCCTATTTATAAGAGATAGGGCACACTAGTGATCTATGCCTGAGACACGAAGGCAACTATAGAACATATAGTTGGCGCCGTAACAATAAATCCATTAATCTGAATATTATATAAACATTTTAGATTACTAAAATAATTTGTATCAAATGATTAAATTAAATGATTAAATTAAATAATTTGAATATAATAATAAATATATATATTTAATATTATTCTTTTTATAATATATTTAAAAAGCTTTTGATTTATAACTTTTATATCTATTTAATATTAATATTCGATATTTGCTTTTTCTTTAATTCTTAATATATTTATCAAAATATTTCAATTATTCTAAATCTATTTCATTATTTATTTATTTATTAGATATAGATTTAATAGTTCAATTTATAGGAAAATCGATTTTAATATATCAATTGAAAAGATAAATCTATTCTTGAATTATTAGAAATAAAAATATAATTTTATTTTCCTTATTATTATATATAATTACTATAGCCCATTTCTTATTACCTAATTATATTGCTTTACTTCTATCATTTCATTTAATATTAATTATTATTATTCCAAAATATATTATATTTATTATAAAATCTATTTTATTGAAATTATAGAAATTGTAATTAAAAATATTGTATTTCGCTTATATATTCAAAACTAATTGAAATCACTTTTTAATAAACTTAGGATCTTTATAAAAAGCTCTTTGAAAATTATAAATACAATTAAAATACATTTTTAATTCAATTCAATACTTTATAAATCAATATACTCAAAGCTTTCCAATATATTTCGCATTTTTTAATTTAAGAATATAATTCACTATATCTTCTATATTCTTTAATTTTAATAAAAATTCTTTTAAATCTATATTAAATATATATTAAATAATCATTTTTTCTTTTAATTCTATAATCTTATAATTATTAATTCGAATTTCTATATAAAAAAATAAATCTTTTATTTTATATCGAAAAATTATATAAAAAATATTATAAAATATAATAGTTTTTTGAATATTTAGTTTTTTATTTTTATAAATAAATTCAATAATAAGAAATATATAAGCTTTTTGATTATTCGAATTTATTATAGATTATTAATAAAATATATATTGAAAGAGAAAGATATAAATTGAAATGAAAGTGGGTCACTTAGTGATATAGGCCACTCGGTATTAAACTACGTTATACAATATATAATAAACACATTATATCATCCTCATCTCCATCTCCTTATCTTTTGGTATTTCCTGGTGAGGGTTGATTTTTGCTATTTATTTATCGATTTATATAACTACTAGGTATTAATATATATCTATATCCGTATCATGTCCTCTCGGTTTCTTTATTATTTGAAATTGCATCCCTGAGTGCTGATGTTTATATATATTAATATTTTTAAGTCTCTAAGCCTTTAAGCCTCTAATCCTCAATTTCTTAATTGCTGAATACCATAATACCATAATACCTAGGTTTTTTCGAGAGAGGGAGAGAAAACTTAAAAGGGATATACGATGTATGTATGTGTGTACGAGTAGAAGAATTGAAATAGGGATGAAGGAGATGGAGTGGGGGGGCGGACGGAGGGAATAGAGAAGGGGGGGTAAAGAGAAGGGGGATGGGATGGGATGGGATGGGCTAAGGAATGACATGGAGCAGGAATAGAAAAGAGGAGGGAATAAGAGGGCTTGTAAGATAGGGGAATAGATGGATGAGGGGAGGGCAAAGTAGAAAGATGGAAAGGCAAACGAAAGAGAAATATAACGTGGTTTATCATCAAATGGGCTATATCATTGAGTGGGCCACTTTTCCCTTAATTTATATTTTTAATTTCTATACACGATTTATCAATTAATTATTATAGAATCAATTAATCAAGAAGTCTGAATCTTTTTTATTATTAAAGTTATTTATAAAGATAAAAAACTAAGTATTTAAAAAGCTTTTAAATTCTATAATATCTTTTATATAATTTTTCAATATAGAATGGATAATTTATTATCTTATATAGAAATTCGGGTGAATTATTATAATATTATAGAATTAAAAGAGAAAATAATTATTTAATATATTTTTGATATAAATTCAAAAAGTTTTTTATTTAAATTAAGAAATATAAAAGATATAGTAAATTATATTCTCAAATTAAAGAATATAAAATATATTGGAAAGTTTTGAATATATTAATTTATAAAGTATTAAATCAAATTAAGATATATTTTTAATATTATTTTATAATTTTCAAAGAGTGTTTTTATAAAGATTTTAAATTTCTTAAAAATAGTTTTGATTAATTATAACATCCACTGCAATATCATCTTTTGACTCGCGATTCTATACTTTCAATAACATAAGCTTTATAATAAATATAATGTATTCCGAATAATTATAATTAATATTAAACACAATAATAAAATAGGTAATAATATTAGATAATAGAAAATGGGTTTATAGTAATATATATAGTAATAAAAGAGTAGTAAAATTATATTCACTATTTCTAATAATTTAAAAATAGATTTATTTTTTTAATTATATATTAAAATCGATTGTCTATAGATTAGATTATTAAATCTATATTTAATAAATAAATAAATAATGAAATAATTAGAATAATTGAATATTTTAATAAATATATTAAAAACTAAAGAAAGAATAGATATAAATATTGATATTACATAAATATAAAAACCATAATTCGAGTTTTTCAAATATATTATAAGAAAAGAATTTATCTATTTAAATCTAATTATTATATTTAAATGATTTAATTTATTATTTATATAAATTGGTTGTGGAATAATCTGAAATATTTTATACATAATCAAATTAATGGATTTATTAAATAGATCATCAAATTATATTTCGAAAATTGAATTCTTTATAAGCTTTTAAAATTATATATAAAAAATCAATTACCTCTTAAAATATGAAATTAGGATTACAGAAGAATAAATTTAATTCTATTTAATTCTAAAACTATATTTTCGAAATTAGATATTCGAATTTGTATATCTATTTCCCTCTTTTTTGATTTAAATTAATAAATCTCTTAAATTTCTTATAATTCATTAAAACTCTTTTTCAATTAATATTAATTAAATTTTAAATAACTTATTATTAATCAGATTTCCTTATATTTATATTCAAGATTATATTAATTTTAATTAAAAATATAAAAAGATTAATTTATAAAAATACACTTTTAAATATAAAGATTTATATATTTCAAATAACAAATAAAATATTAAATAAATATTAATATATAAAAAAAACTTAATTATATTAAAAAGAAATATTTATTAAATAAAAAACTTTTAATATATTATTTCAATAAAAGATTGATATTCAAATTCAATATAATAAATATTAAAAAATAAAAAATTCTAATAGAAAAATATTTTTTAATTAATATTATAATAAATATAGAAAAACTAAATATAATATAAGAACTTATCAAAATAATATAATAAATCCTAAATTATTAGAATCTTAATAGTTTTAATTAATTGATTTAATAATTATTGAATAATATAGATTTGAAGGTATAAATTGAGAGAAAAATAGCCCACTCAATAATATGGCTCACTCGATGATAAACCACATTAATGGAATGATATGAGATAAACGAGAGAAGAGAGATGGGAGAGTCAGTATAATGAAACGTATTCAGCAATTTGCTAAAGTCTAGTACGCTATCATCAAAGGCTAGGGGCTAGGTAGTATATATAATGGTCGGATATGTGATTGTGATAAATTATATTGTTAGAGATAGAATGAGTTGAAAATGAATTGAGCCACTAAATTCCCAATCTGAGATTTGGATTCATATCCGATACATCTGCTTTCAATACAACTTATAGTCCACTCGCCACTCAAACGCCATCCATACGCCGAAAAGCCGAACCCCCCAAAATTATCATCGTCGTGTACTCGTGCATGTATGTCATGACACACAAATCATTATACACCTTCTCTTGTCCCTCTCATTACCTAAAGCCCCCGGTTAATCGAGAAAGTCATGTCCATTTCCTTGCTGAAACAAGATGCATGTCCCGCCACTAAAATACTTCAATATCTAGAGGATCCCAAACCTAATTTCTGTTTCTTAATTCGTGGAATAATCCCAATCAAGACCAATACAGCACAAACAATAACGGCCCAGCTCTTAATATGCAATGCGTTAACATTAAAAGGTGTCCACGTCGCCGCGGCGATTGTAGCCAGCATTAGGAGAAGAACGAGGTATCCACTTAATCGATGATATTTATAGATGGATTTTGCGGTTGAAATATCGCCGTATAGAGAGGGGGTGAAGTATTGTGTGAAGCCGACTAGGGATTGAATTAAGAGGAGTATATAAGTTATCAAACCCACTAAAATTATTAGTATATTTTCAGCTCTAAAATCTGATTAGAAATACATACGAATAGCATGAGCTGATTCAAAATGTGTTCCATTGTGTGCGAATTTATTGACTTCGATAACGACAAGGCCGGCGATTAGAAGACTACCAGCTAATGCATTTATTCCCGCATGTGCGATTGTACCCTGACGTTTCTGTGTAGCGGTATGTGTAGGTTGTAGAATGAGGATTCCTTGAGTAAGAACCAAGAGGGCGGCAGAATTGAGAAGAGGATGTGCTGAGAAGAGCATTAATGGGTAGAGAAATATGCTGGCCCAGATATGAGCTACGAGGAGGAGAAGTCCAACTTGAGTTATGATTGCTGTACCTATTGGAGAATTTGTATTAGCTATCGCTTTGTGTTGAATTGAATTTTGTGAAGGGTTGAATTACCAAGTGCAAGATTCCAGTAGAGTGGACGTCCTTCTTGTTGTGATGCATCGCCGGCTCTTCCGATTAAAGGCTCATCTTCTCCATAACCAGCTTCGTAAGGATCTGGGAGTTCTCCTGCAGCTACTCGAGGATTTTGTGGTATTCCTGTTGAGGAAGCCATATTATTGATGCTCTGAAATTGAGTAGTTCTTCTCAAATGCTTGGATGTATGGATTCCAGACTGAGATGAAGATTGAGATAAAAAACGAAAATGAAAATGAAAATGAAAATGAAAAAAAGATAATCGGGTAGTATATGTCCTACCTATATAAATACCTGGTACTTATAAGATCCAAGGCAGCATGAAAAAATATACATACATTACATGGATTGATAGATCGCCAACTTGTTTGTAGTACGATTAAAAGTAGTATAATGGCGTCAATGATTTGGATTGCGGGGAGAATGAACCAATCATTGAGCTTGCTTCTGTAAGCACTTTCTATGTTGAGATATTGAGACATTTCCATCCGTCTATCACGGAGTCCGGTCGCATATTGCGTGTCATTGAAATACGAGGATGGGGCGAAGGGTAATAAGTAAGGAGAAGAATTGGAAATGTTATACATGTAGTATATCTTCATCATATCCATCTACCTAGTAGGTATGAAGAGAAGAGGCGAGAAGAGAAGAGAAGAGAAGAGAAGAGAAGTGTAATGTGATAAGAGGAAATGTGATGAGCTGAAGGACGAAATGATATATAAACTAGTATGTAAGTACTAATCCTGGAGTTCCAAGGTTGAAGATGTCAATCCAGAATGAAGTATCTTTAGGTTACTCTCATCGTCCTAAGTTCCCAAGCTGTCACTCAAACAGAAAAGTACAGTAGTGTTGTCCATATATGTGGTGAATGTCATCAAACAATATATACGACAACGACAGGATTCATACATTTTATCATACACTTCATCGGATCCAGTTCAGATTAAAGAATAATAAGGTTAAAGATGGATAAATGTTCTTGCTTGATAGCGGGGCTTATCGGAGGACTTATCGGAGGACACCGATATAGGAAAATGGTATTATTACTCGATGGAAATTGTAAATTTCCAACATCATCTAAAACTCTCTTTTGTTTACTTTCTCTTCTTCCTATCCTTCTTCTTCCTCTCTGGTCTCTTCCTCAAACTACTTTTCTGTCATCCTTCGCCGTGAAATCTTTTCTTCAATACCCAATTCAATATGACTTTCGAAACCGAATACAAGACGGAAGATGTTGCTGCAACTTTGGTGGCTTCAGATCAGATTGATACTACTTTCCGCTCATCATGTATTGGTAAGTGATACTTTCCAAGGTTATCTTCTGTCGCGTGGCTTGAGACATGAACGGCTGGAAGTTTCACAAGCCATAGATCACTCAAGGATAGAAGCTTAAGAACATAAGAGGAAACTCTTGATTCTTTCAGTGAACAACATGTACAAGTCTATTAGGCTAACCCTCCACTCTAGATCTGATATCTGGAACTCTTGGTGGAAAAGTACTTTCATTCTCAGATGAATGGTTTGCGGAAGCAAACAATCTTCTTACTCCTACCCCACCCATCAGCCAACCAGGAAAGATGGTATATTCTGGTGCCTGGTATGATGGATGGGAAACACGTCGACATAATACTGAACCTTTTGATTATGTCGTAATTCGTCTCGGGGTTGCTTCCGGAACAGTCGAGGGAATTGAAGTTGACACAGCTTTCTTCTCTGGAAATAATGCACCTGCTATTTCCGTCGAGGGCGTGTTTAGTGACAGTGATGAAGAAGTAATTGGATGGAAAGGTGGTCGAGGAAAATGGGAAACAATTCTTGGTCTACAAGAGTGTGGTCCTTCTCAACGATTCGGATGGAAACTTGCCGTTCCAACCACAAAAGCGTACACTCACGTGAGGCTCAATATGTACCCAGATGGTGGAATTGCTCGATTCAGACTCTTTGGCCATGCCGTACCGGTTTTCCCAGAAGATAAGAATGCCATCTTTGATTTGGCCGCCGCTCAAAATGGAGGAGTTGCTGTTTCTTGTAGTGATCAGCATTTTGGAGTCATCGCCAACCTTATATTGCCTGGACGTGGAAAAGATATGGGAGATGGTTGGGAAACCAAGAGATCTAGAGGAAAAGATCATGTGGATTGGGCTATCATTCGATTGGGAGCACCAGGAACCATTGAGAACTTGATTGTCGATACAGCATTCTTTAGGGGCAACTTTCCTCAAAAAGTAAAGGTTGAGGCTATAAACTGGAATGGTGAAGGGGAGCCAGGTTTTTCAGCTGAAGGATGGACCGCAGTTGTTGAGCCCAGTAAGACCAGTGCTGATAAGGAGCATGAATTTGAATCCTTGGCGAAGGATAAAACCTTTACACACGTCAAGCTAGTTATGATTCCTGATGGAGGAGTAAAGAGAATTAGGGTTCTAGGAAAGAGAAGTGTTCAAGTGAATCATTAGAGGCATAATAGAAATGTTCGAAATCCTCTGCTGTCACACAAAATTTTACTCTCTTCGATGACTTTCATCTCTTCACTAGTGACGGAAACTTTGTCGCAAAGCAGTACTAGGTATTTTGTAAACTTTGAGCATGGCATTCCCTCCTCTCTGATACAATGGTAAGCAATTAATTGAACATTTTCAATCGCCTGCCTTACATATGTTTGAAGTCTTAGAAAGATTCCACATGTAAACATTGAATTACACATTACATTGACAGAAAACAAAATAAGGCTGAATACTGCCCAGCCGAGCCAGCCTGCATCCTTCATGGTGAAACCTTGTAAACGCTTGGACCAATCCCAAGATGACTTCTATTATGCGACCCTTCAATCAAACATGCCCCCGGCTCCGACATCATAATAAATGCAAGAAAGTCCAAGTTACAACTTACCACAGTAGCTTCCCTGTGGAACCAACAACAGTTCCAGAATTTGTTACACCTCCTTGAATGACAAGATCTGCAGGAAACAAATTCAATTCTCATAAGGTCACAACAGATGTGTACAGGTTGTATGCAGTCTTTCTGCTGTTGTGATGGACATCGAGGACCATAATGGAGATATAGGTGGATTCGGGGAGGAGAGGGTAAAACCACGACCACTACCTGATGATTTGCCCAAGTCACTTGACGATCGAAAAAATGTATCGGCAGAGTATGCACCTGAGACTGAGATGTATGATGCATGGCAAGGTATGACAGTTCAATGTAGGAGGGACAGAATCAACCAACTAACATCTTTAGGACAATCGCAATTCTTAACAAATCCTGTTCTTGCTAAACCACTCGAATTCAAGAATCTCTCACTCGGAACTGACGAATTCGAAGATGATATTACAAAACAAGAGATAGGGGAGAGTGATAATAGACTCCTGGAAATGTTGGCCGCTCAAGCAGCACATCGGGATGGCTCAGCTAGTGAGGATGAAGATGCTGTGGCTACTGATGAGAAGCTTTCGCTCGAAGAGAAGAAGGATATATTGCAAAAGGCTTTGAATATGGCAGCTAGCAATGGAGATGTTGATCGCATAGAGAGGATTCTTCAAGGTAAAGCAAAAGACCTTATTGATTTGGATGCGCCGGATGAAGAAGGTACAGCGCCATTAATTTACGCAAGTTGTTTTGTGAGTTCTGGCCACGTTTGTCATCTAGTATGAAGCAACTAACGATTGCGCAGGGTCATGAAGCCGTTGTAACAGCACTATTAGATGCTGGCGCCGATGTCGACAAACAAGATCGAAATCAATGGAGTGCTTTGATGTGGGCAATGACAAATCGACATAAGGGTATAGCGAAGGCACTTCTAGATAGGGGCGCATCTAGAGATGTTAAATCGTCAACGGGTAGAACAGCATTCGATTTTATCGCTCCAGATAGTGAAATTGCCGATTACCTTCAGGATGGCGGTTATCACATTGGCAATGCTGGAGTAACGGACGACTTTTATAATCCTGGATTCTCCCAAGACCGATTCGAGGAGGAAATGGCAGAAAATGAGATGAGGCGGCGAATGATGATGGAGAGTGCTAGAGATTTAGAGGTTGACTTGGGTAATATGGGTATTGATGATCAACCTGAGTCACCAGAGGAGCTAGAAGAAGAAGGACAAGATTTTGATTGGAGTCGATGTTTACATGATCAAATGTTCGTGTTCCAGGAAAGCGAACTTGGTCGAATCCTGGATATTATCATCACCAACATGTCTCCTCAACGATCGCCATCTCAGAAACCTGTGCCGGCGAACATGATTTTCCTCAGCGCCAGGTATGCTCATTATCATGCAAGTCATGATCTTCTTGCCAAACTCCTCATTAGCGCAATGGATAAGATTAATGATGTGGTTGAAACGCACCAATGGGACATGACGATATTGGCTTTCTGGATTTCGAACGCTACATTATTATTACATTATCTGAAGAAAGATGCTGGGTTATCTGAGTCAACATCCGAATTTCAACTTCAGCTTGCGGAATTAATCAATGAGATATTTATCTTGATTATTCGAGATGCTGAAAGGAGAATGGACAAAGTCCTTGATTCTGCCATGTTAGAACATGAAACTATTCCAGGATTTGAAGACGTCACATTTCAGAATGAATGGAAGCTCTTCAAAAGAAAAACGACCGTCAAAGAAGTACCGATTGAAAAAAGATTCCGACCACCTTCTCCAAAGGCAAGGGCTAAACCTTCACCTCGCAATGTCACATCTTTATTATCCTCGACTCTTTTTGTATTGGATCTCTATGATATACATTCTGTCATTACTTCTCAAATATTGGCGCAACTGCTTTACTGGCTTGGAGCCGAACTTTTCAATCGTATCATGTCTAATCGAAAATACCTAGCACGAACCAAAGCAATGCAAATACGTATGAATGTATCTAGTTTGGAAGAATGGGCGCGAACGAACAATCGACAACCTGAGCATTATGAACATGGTTCCATGACTTCCAGTGGAGAAATGACTGTTGAGGCAACGCGGCGACATCTCGCACCTTTAGTTCAGTTGCTACAATGGCTACAATGTTTCTCATCTTTGGGACAAGATGATCTGGAAGCGTTAGTTGGAACATTACAACAACTCACTCGACTTACACCCCAACAACTAATACATTCGGTAAAACATTATCGAGCCGAAGTTGGAGAAAAGGATTTACCAAAAAGTGCCATGAACTATTTAATCAATCTACAAGAAGAGCATAGATTAAGAAAAGAACGTCAAAAACGCAATTCTCAAGGTCTTCGCATGAGTGCGCCATCTACACCAGCTAGAAAGGGAAGTAGTAAACCCTTACCTGATACCCCTGATTCGAACGGTCGTGGTGGAAAACCTCAATCTCTAGATGATGAATCGTTTGAGGAAGATGACGGTGCACCCGAACATCTTCTTCTAGATCCAGCCCTTATGCTTCCATTTTCGTTACCCTCGAGTACGGATATGTTGATTAGTTATGGAGCGGGATTTGGAGGGGTGAATAGAGAGAGAGAGAGAAAATATATACCCACTGTTCCTCCGGAGTTTTTGGCAAAGTTGGATTTGAGTGGAGGAAGAGCACATTCAACGTATCATGAGAGAGATTGGGAGAATGAGGAGCTTTGATGAGTATGAGTGGTTGAGGAGAATAAGTGGAAAGTCGGGAGATAGAAGATAGCATTTATCGGTGGGCAGGCAGCATGGCGTGGCGTTTTTGTTGGCGTTTGTCATGATGGATGATGCTGGTGCTGGCATACAATGCTGAACAGTGTCAGATAATTTGACATGGATTTATGTCAAATGGTGGAAATCGTTTTTCTGTGCGCTTCTTTGGAATGAGAAGAGGTAAAAGAAGAGATAGAATTGGAAGGGAGTTCAATGCAGTGTGATTGAATAGCATATTCTTATATGGCATGATATGAATGGAAGCTTTTTTTGTGTTGTACGCAATAGAGATTTGCATTTGAATTGTGTGTAAGAGGAGAGGGGGGTAGGGGAGAGATATAGAAAATTTATCAATCTTTCCATTATTTATTTTTGACTTTTTTCTTGGAGAAGAAATTATGATGATTTCTGGCTGCGGAATTGATAGGTATGTATATGTATGTGCGTATGTGTATGTGTAATTATGTGTACATAATATGTGCATATATGTGTCACGCTCGTACTTCGGAGCCGGAAGGAGGATTTTTATTTGACTTGATATGATATGACATGACATGACTTGACTTGACATGATATGATATATATAGCACGGGATAGGATTTGGAGCTTGGAAGGAGGAATGGATGGATTTATGAATATATGGATGGATGGATGGATGCCCGACGGGTAGGTTAGGGTAATGTAGATTGGTGATATAGGTAAATAGTGGCGGGTTTGGTGGTATGCTGTATACTGTGTGTGCGTACCATATCATATCGATTGCGTGTATATGTGTGTATGTTTGTAATATATGTATGTCGGAGTGACATTCTCGTGTTTTTCTCCGAGGGTAACGTGAGGATTTGTGTGACTTATTTTGTAGGTAACGTGATTTATCATCGAGTGGACCATATCATCGAGTGGGCCATTATTTTTACATACAAAATTCGTCTGTGTGTAACCATACACTTTCTTTATTTATTGATAGAATTTTTTAAAAATTAAAATTATGAAATTTAATTATATAAATACTACAAAAATCTTATTATTTATTAGAAATTCGAATTAATATAAGAATTATTATTAGGAATATTTTTTTGTAATGAAAATCGTGACAATTTTCACATTTTTTAATATAAAATGAAAATATTAATATAAAAACTAGATTTTTAGAAAACTAATCTTTTATTATTATTTAATCTTTTTTTCTTTTTCTAAAATAATGATTAGTTATTAAAATACGAATATTCAAAAAGCCTTAATTTTGGTGTATTTTGAAGTGGCCCACTCGATGATATAGTCTACTCGATGATAAATCACGTTACTTGTAAGGGTGGATTTTGTGGTTGTGGTTGTGGTTGTGGTGTATAGGGTAGGGTAGGGTAGGATAGGATAGAATTGGATAGAATTGGATTTCGCTTGTGTGATATTTGATTAGGTGGTGAGAGTACTGGGTAGATATAATGATGATGATGATGATTGTGAATGATGAGGTTATTGAAGTTTAGGGTTTTGTTATAACGTGGTTTATCAGTGAGCGGGTTATATTAGTAAATAGATCATTTCGAAAATCATTTAAATCAAGCTTTTTAAAATATTCATATTTTAATAAATAATTTTATTTTTTATTTGAATAAGAGATCTTAAAAAATAATTAAAATATAATTTTTTTATTAATCTAATTTTTATAAAATAATTTTATTGTTTTCTATAAAAAAAAAGGAAATTGTTATGATTTTCATTACAAAAAAACTATTTTTATAATAACAACTTTATAAATTCGAATTTTTTAAAACTAATTAGATTTTTAAATTTTTTATATATTCAAATATTTTATATTAAATTTTCCGAAAATTATATTTATAAATAAAGAAGGTGTATAATTATATATAAATGAATTTTGTATATAAAATAAGTAATCAATTCACTGATATAATCTGCTCACTAATAAACCATGTTATACTGAGTACGTTTGTACATATTGTTTAACTTGGGTGTATAGGTATAGGTACTTGAGTAGATAAATAAGTGGATAGGGAAGTAGGTGACAGCTTGAGATGATTGTTTGGGTCGAGATAGGATGGATAGGGGGTTGGTAGTTGGTATAATGAATTGGATACTCGTATGATATTGGGAATCTAATTATCTACTAGGTACTTAGGTACTAGGTAAATTGGTGGTATACGAGTAGGTAGATATCTTGATAAAGTTCAACAGCAATGAATAGGTTACTAGATAGGATAGATAGGTACTTATTAAGATATTGGAGATGAAATTTGGTTTGTACAAAATTCATATAGTGATGTTATATGTTAAATTATTTGTTCCTTTTTCAAAAGAATATTGGCTTTTCCTTTTGAAGGAGGTGGATGGCGTGGATAGGTAGTAATGTGATCTTCCATGTCGTGAGAGGTTGGGGTAGAGGTAGCGAGAGTATGAATGACTAGATACTTAAGAATTAGTTAAGTTAGTTATTTTGTTCATGATTAGAGTTTGGGCTTGCTTGGTTTCTTTCTGTGAGATATATATATATAATATAAGCTTTGTGGGTGCGTGGGTGCTAAAACTAGTCTTGAGACTTTGGAGAAGGTTTGGATGTTTGGGGATTGGGAGTTGGTGTCTAGGTACTAGATACTAGATACTAGGTAGGTACTGGTGGTACGAGTGGCCACCTTCTGTTTTGGTAAGGGCTGAGGTATCGAGGGTATCTGGTTTGTCTGTGCATGGATGGATGGAGTTGGTGTTGGAGGGAAGCTGAATGGGAAATCAAAAGGGAATGGAATAGAGAGAGGGCTGAAGGGCTGATGGGCTGATGGGGAAGTACTAAATAGATAAAGAGGCGAAATATAGGAGACTTATATCCTTATATCTCCAGTAGGCGCCTGAGTAAGGATATATAATTTGAGTGAAGGTGCTGATATTGCCTTGTGCCTATTTACTACACAATATAGATATCCATATATATAGATTTCGTATAACTTATATGAAATAATACATATTTAATAGATGGGAGATTTACTTTTCTACTTTCTTTTCTTTTCCCCTTTTTCTTTTTCTTCTTCTTCTTCTTCTTCCTTTCCTCCATAATAGAGTTCTAAATCGACCGTGACCAGTATGTCAAAAGACATGATAATGATGTATGTAATACCATGGGACCGACAAACCCGCGTATGGCCTTTTTTCATAGCGATCATATATGTTGAAATCACACATTATCATGATATCATTGTTGATCGGATGATATTAAGTATATACTTCAACACGTTCAACATGAAGTTGGTATATCATGATATGGATCGTTGGCATGACTGGTGATGGATAAAAATGACTATGAGAATTTAAAGAGACGGTCATGAAGAAAGCCACTTCTTGATATTGATCAGGAAAAGGTATGGTGAGAAGACTGTTCAGAGGGAGTGCGTGGTCAATGTTAGTCCACCAGATTCTACCAAAAAAAAGTCAAGATGGGAATTTGATGTCAACTATCCATAGGTAGTGCTGTTTCTTTCTATTGAAGAGTAAATGATGTTTTGCTCTTTCTTCTCTACTGTATATGAACGAACGGTGACCTCGAAAGAATAAGTCGATTGGGATAATCCATAATCGAATAGTTATCCAATATCGATTTCAAGAATCAAATTTCCACCTCAATGATTTCAGCTACATAGGTCCAACAGAGGAAAAACAAAACATTGATCTTTTTACTATCAATACTCTGTTTACTATCTATTGATCGAGTACACGGATCTCCAGGTTACATCTCTACAGAATATATCAGAGGTTCTTCCTCTAATAAGAACAACTGAAATCTACATCCGAATTACCTCAAGCTTTGGGAGATAGATATCAAGCCGAAGAGACGAAAGCACCTCCTCCAATCCAAATATATATTTCAACCCAAGCACTTATTCCAATCCGCCTGTCTGCCTTTCATACCTACATGAAGCTTGCCCAGGATTACAACACAGCACTACAGCATTACAATCATCATATCAAATCACAGAGAGTGCCCACCTGCAAGCCGTTGCATAGCATAACACAACACCCGCATCACAACATTGATATCTTACGACCAGAGCACCGAAAAGTGACATTGCTACATGCAAAAAGCGAAGAAGAATTGGTCCATCTAATAATCTATCAGATTTTCTTCAATTTTCCTCAATTTGTGTTTTCGGGGTGAAACTTTCTAATATACGAGTTACCTTGCCGGCATATATTCTTCGGGTCTTTTGAATCTATCTTTCTTTCTCTCTCCCCCTCTCTCCCTCCCTCCACAACAAAAACAACTAAACAAACAAACTCGAATCTCTTCACCTCAAATAATGAACCATGGCACTCAATGTTCAAAGATTCGGAAGTTTTAGAAGTACTCGCAAGAAGTCATCTAACAATACCAAAAACAACATTAATACTAATAATACTAATACCGGTACCCCACAAGTTACGACAAATATAACAACCAATAATGAGGGACTACCAGGGCCACCGTCAGAGCTAATTGCGATGAGATATGAAGATATGTTCCCTGGAGCAAGGGCACCAATTCCCGTTACTGTTGCACCTCCACTTTCTCCACCTACAGATACGCATCCTGCATTGCGGCCACGATCATTACTTAACCAAGGTCATGAACTAGGAGCTTTGAAGAAGGAGGATAATACAAAGAGAGATTCGGGTCTTGCACCTACCACCAGCACAAGTGCTCGAGATTGTGAAGGAGGTTCTATTAATCGTCACTCTTTTAATACCGTCGATAATGACAATGTCTTGGGAATCAATATAAACTTTGATTCAAAAGTAGCCATGGCAGAACCAAGCAGCACAAGCTCCACTCCACAAGTTCAATTGAGCGATGTGCAATCACCCGCATCACTAAAATCTCCAAGTTTTATGAATAATGAAAGCTTGGGGTCTTCTGCAGGGTCCCTGAAACGATGGAAAACGAAAAATGGTAATTCCAAAAGCCCTACCAAGACTGG